TTTTTTAATTCAATTTTTCTTGTAATATAATGGTCATATATTACATAATATATGACCATTACATTACAAGAGTAAATAAAATTTTTTTGCTACAAAATCATAGAAACTCTTTATTAAACAAAAATATCAAAATGTGACACTATTGTTTCTCGATCTACTTCCATACCCTTCTGAAGGCAGTGTTTCCATCTCTCTAACCCTCCTAGAATTCTGTGTTTTACAATTTGGACCACATTAAAACAGTAGTTTGGGCATCCTTGAGGAACTCAAATTGTGCTCCTTTTAAATGGTGAGTTTGGGGGTGGGGAGTGTGAACATCAGGACTGTAGGGTGGATGGGGTAAGAATTTCTGAAGAAATTCTTATAGGATAGCCCTTGCTACCCCTTGAAGAATGAACAGGAACTTTGTTGTGATGGGGAAAACATACCTGGGTACAACTTTCCTGGCCTGTTTCTCACTAATGCAGTTTCAATTTTAAAACTTCTTCATAGTAAGCTCCTGTGATCATCTTGTGTTCTTTGAGAAAATCTATCATTTATCCCTTTGGAATCCCCAAACCGTTCTGGGCTGACATCTCTGCTTTGAATTGAATTTAGAAGCCATTGCTTTGATTGGACCTTTTTTTGAAGTTCCTCTAGCCAGACTAAGACAAGTATATTACTGAGAGAAATTGTCTGCAGTCATCCACTGATCACAGAGACATGCTTAAACATATTTTGTATGGAATAAACCCATGCATGTATGCTCTGGAACCCTAGTAGCAATACTTTTAGATTCATCAAAGTGTTTCATGGAATCTTTGCTTTAGCTAATATCATCTAAATATATATTCTGGGTCAGCAAATGAGCCCCAGTCAAAAAGAAACTTTCAAAACTTTTGCTGTATTCTCTCATTGAGAAATTAGGTTTAGAATCCATAGGACTGGAGATTCAGAATGAAGTTTAACAAAAAATTTAATGAAATTAAAATTGTAAATGCAAAGATTACATTGCAACTTATTTAGGAAACTAATTTAAGAGGTCAGATGTGTAAGATATGATATTTCTGTGTCAAATATGGTTAAGAGTTTTTAAATGCGAATATAGAATGCTGTACAGTTGTTCTCATCTATAATATTCAGTACCGAATAAATGGTTCAAATCAGAGGTTCTTAAGTTGTTGGTCTCAAGACCATTTACACTCTTAAAAAATAATTGAGGACCCCCTCCCAAAGAGCTTTTGCTTATGTTGGTTGTATTTCTCTATATCACCATATTAGAAATTACAGGTGAGAGCTTTAAAAATATTCATTCAAAATGATATTTTAAAACAATGTAAATATAAATGAATCACTTTTATGAAAATGATTGCCTCTAAAACAAAATTACTGAGACAATTGCAAAAGCTACTGCACTTCTCAAAGATTTGTTAAAATCTATTATCTGAAACCTACCTATTAATTTTCATACTCTTCTGTGTTTAAATCCATTAGTGTATCTTGTCATTGAATGGATATCTTACCTTTGCATGATGATGTAATATCATATATTAATATATTGGTAATTTGGAAGATATTGGTTTACTGAGTTAAGCAGTTCTTTTAAACACTGACACATTTCACTAGACAACGTTTTAAAAATCACATATATTAATATCACCTGGATCTCATCAGAAAGGAATTTAAAGTACTGCGGAGTTGTCCAGCTCATAGTAGTGGAACCGTTTTCTAAACTTCTAATTCAACCTTGAAAGATCCAAAATTATCCTTAGCAACAAAACTTGTCCCTTGTTTTCTACAAAGTGACAGGTGTAGTTTATTTTTTTAAAAAAAGTCTGTTAAATACACCAAGTCTTGAATAATCATAGCGTATCTCTGGCTAGTTTAGCTTGCAACTCACACAATTACAGAAGTACTTCTCTGAGAGACAATTTACAATGAAATCTGAGCGTTTGAATTCAATTGGACTGTCATATTTTTCTGGATCTCACAAAATTTCCACTTTTGATCACTCTCTATTAGGGTAAAATATTTATTTCAGTTTTCCTTCTCTGACAGGTTTCAGCCTTCAACAGTTCTGGCTTTCCCACGTTTTTACTATTTACTTCAAGGAGACCTGGTGGCACAATGTTAAAGCACTCTGTGGCTAATCAAAATATTGGCAGTTCAAACCCATGAGTTGCTTTGCCAGTAAGAGACATGACAGCTTGCATAAAGATGTACAGCTTTGGGAACCCTGTTTCCAAGTTCTACTCTGTCTATAGGATTCTATGAGTTGGAATTGTCTTGATGGCAATGGGCTTGATTTTGGTTTGTTTGTTTTACTGGGTTTTGGTTTCTTTACTTTGGTATCCATAAGTGCTTTATAGATACCTCCCATTTTTTCACACAGAATATTAAAAAGTCACTTTTTTTTTTAGCTGTCAAGAACAGCTTTTAAAGTGACAGCTTTAAAAAAGTGGTTTGGTTTTTTCCCTACAAATGTATAGCGGTGAAGAATATATTCACTATAAGCACTGGACTGTTAACCACAAGATCACGGTTCAGACCCACCTTGGGAAACCCTATACAAGGTCGCTATGAGTTGGAACAGACTGACTGCACTTGCCAATATAGTTTGGTGCCAAGGTCTTGATTTTCATGCTAAGGTACCAGTAGTTTAACTCACCTTGCTTTCCATGACAACAGTGAAAATTTTCAAAAACGTCTTAGTATTGTTTTCATGTTGCAAAATTCCTGAAAAAAATCAGGAATCCTCCCAAAGTCCCATGAATCACAAATTGAGAACTGCTGGGTGTTTTGCATACAGAAATCACAGTTCTCTTTTATTTCTGGGTTATTCATGCTTGAGGCTTATTCATGATCATAGGTTTGATCATTGAAGCGCCAAGGTGTGGAACACATTCAAGAGGTAAATTCTACAGCGTGTACAACTCAACAACTCAAGTTGTTAGAAAACCGCTCCAAGGAAAGGAATTCAGAGCGCAAGATTGGGTTTGTTGTTGCCATTGGCAACGATCCTCCGAGGGCAGGGGGTGTGTGCCATCATCGATTAGTTATGTCTTCCGTCCGTGGCAGGAGAGAGGGCGGGGCCTGGATGGCGGAAGAAGGACACCTCCTCGGACTTCAAGTCGGGTGTATTTGGTTACGAGGCAGCTCGCTCGTTCTGTGATCTACTGAGAGTGGCTTCCGAGAGCCCCATGTTGATGTCGGGGAGGGAGGGAAGATGGCGGCGGTGGCGGCGGGCGGCCTGGTGGGGAAGGGGCGAGACATCAGCCTAGCAGCCCTGCAGCGCCACGACCCCTATATCAACCGCATCGTGGACGTGGCCAGCCAAGTGGCTCTGTACACTTTCGGCCATCGGGCCAACGAGTGGGTGCGTGCAGACCTGGGCTGGGTGGGAACTGCGGGTTGTCAGACTTGGGGTCGAGAACCCTGTGAGGGGGAGGCGATGCTGACGCCCTGGAGGTGGATGGCGGCGGATCCGGGATCTGAGGGCAAAGTTGTAGAAATCAGGATCTTGGGCTCTGGGCTTGTGGGGAAGGGCTGACAGATCCGTGAAACCACCTGAAATTGGGGAAAGATGTAAAATGCCCAGATACCCCACATTGGGAGACCAGACCCATCTGGGATGAGACCGTGAGAGCTGAAGGGACACCAAAAACACAGAATTCTATTACAGTAGAGAAGGCAAGGGCAGGGCACGAATAAGAGCGTTCTGGTTCTGGAACATCTCTGATAATACACTAAGGAAAGAGCATACACCGGGAAATAAAGGACCGAAGGGGGCTGGCTAAACCACTTAGACCACACAGACTGTCCAGACCAAAATGAGTTTCATGCCTGAGTCCCTTTGAGAGCCGCATTACTTTTATGGTCCTATGAAAGCAGCGCCCCAATAATTAATAATGGAATGAAATTTAATTTCCTTTCACAATTAGAATGGAACAGGAGCCTAAGACACTCAAGGAGCTAGCCAGGTTGCAGGAATCGTTGCAATTTTGTAATCTACCCACTTGAATGTAAAGAAATGTATTTTCCCCGCCTTGCCTTACAATGCTTTTTAACCCATTATATAACCACCTTCCAATTATGTTCAATAAATTACAAAACCGTATAACGCTCTGGGAGACCTGGTATGGCACTGTAGAATAAACACTGAACCACTAGGTGGGCTGTTCAAACCCTCCAGCGCCACACCAAGACTCCTAGAAATCATTAACAAACACTAAAATTTAAAACAAGGAAAATATCCATATTGAACAAATTTATATTTTAACACCCATAAACATTCATTTACATAGCCTACTTCTCATAGCTCTTTATCAGCCTGTAATAAAACTAATTAAAAAAATTTTTAAATCACACAAAAGTAAAAAAACAAGTTCTAAGTAGGAAGAGAATAATTTGTCCAAAAGTTTTAAGTGAAGAAATTTACTGAAATAGGGCAAAACTTAGTTCTACGTTCTTAGTTGTTGCTGTTGTTAAGTGCTGTCCAGTCGGTTCCCACCCATAGCGACCCTGAACAGGGTTTCCGAGGCTGTAAATCTTTACCAGAGCAGAAAGCCTTATCTTTCTCCCTCAGAGCAGCTGGTAGTTTCCAACTGCTGACCTTAAGGTTTGCAGCCTGATTTGTAACCACTATGCTATCCAGTACATGTCAAAAGCTTTTAGGAAACAAACATTATTCAATAGCAGTTCTGGACTTTACAACGTAACAATTTCTGAGCATCCTCCATTCTATTCTAGAGTTACACATCCCTGATCTTATCTCTACTCATTTCCCTTTATAGAATTATGACATTATGCAGATAGAGCAGTGTAATAGCCCTATGTAGACATCTCTTTTTCAATTGCTACTGTAGAGTTTGTTCACTATGTTGCTCAATGTCCTTCCTTTATTTATACAAAGACCTAGGAGGCAAATTCCTCTGAAAACCAGGGAGAAATAACCTCTATAAGTTAGAATTGACTTAATGGCAGTTGGATGATGGTGGTGGTGAACAAGGGATAGGTTGTTAAGTGCTGTTGAATCAGTTACAACTCATAGCAAGCCTATACAGTGTTTCCAAGGTGTAAGTGGTAGGTTTGAACTTCTGACCTTGTGGTTTGCAGTCCAGTGCTATCCTAGACCACACCAGGATCAAGTGATGAACTACCTACCATTTCTTCTTGTTAAATGTCTTAGAGCAAATTCCAACTTACAGTGACCCTACGGGGTCGCTATGAGTTGGAACTGACTCCACGGCACATAACCACCACCAGATACCCTTGTAAATAGTTACAGAGGTTTATTAGATACCCAGTGAAATCCATTTACAAAAGCCTCATCAAAAGGCAGAAGTGTCATAATACATTATTTACAGGAATTATGTTTTCCTGTTTCCTGGATGAGTTGCCTTCAGAGAGGACATAATTCATTCAGCAAAAGGTCATTCTTTCAAAGTACTAATCTTCAAGGCTATGATAGGAAAAAAGAGACCTAGTTCAGCTGAGAACAGGTGCTGGGAATAAATAAAAATGGTCACTGTCTCCAGATGTCATCACTTGAGGTCTCTGGATGGAGCCTTTTGAATTTAAGATGAAAAGGAATAAAGAACAGTCTTGGAAACAGGTGAGAAAGTATTTGTAGGAAGGCAGGTAGATGTAAGGAAGAGGAATTCATATTACACTGAAAATAGATGAATGATTTCCGGCCTTCAGAAGGGAGGAATTAGAAATGAACAAACTAGATGAAGGGTGGATGGAGAGCGGGCGGTTTTGTAGAAAGAAGGATAAAGCAAGGTTATGTCATGAATGGAATAGGAATTTTAGAGCTAGACCTTCTCCCCATTGCCAAGAAAGATTCCATAAAAGTACCTATGTGTCAGTTAAAGAATATGGCCCTTGGATTATCACTGCTGATGTGGTGGTTAAGTGCGCAGTTGCTAACTGAAAAGTCAGCTGTTTGGACCCACCAGCTACACGGCAGGAGAAAAGACCTGGCGATCGACTCTCATTAGCCTACAGTCTAGGAAGTCCTATAGGGCATTTCTGCTATGTCCTGTATTGTCTCTTTGAGTTGGAATTGACTCCACAGCCAGTAAGTTTTATTATTTTCACTTCTCAGTCTTTAGAGCAGTGGTTTTCAACCAGAGTTGCCCTCAGGTGACATTTGGAAATATCTGGAAATATTTGTGGTGTTAATTGCATCTAGAGGATAGAAGCAAGGGATGGTACTGAACATCCAAGAATGCACTAGATGGGCGCCTACATTTTATTCAGTTCACAAGTCCTGGTGTGGTGCTGTGGGTTAATGCGTTGGATTGCAAGTTTGGTTTGAACTGCTAGGTCAGCAGTTCAAGCTCACCAGCTACTCCTTGGAAACTGTATACAGGGTTGCTATGAGTTGGAACCCACTCAACAGCACTTAACAACAACAAATGTCTTAGAGATTGCCTTAGAGTGACTAGGTCTTGTGTCTTACTAATGGTTTTCTGCCTTTTCTGTGTATTAAGATCACTTGGAGTTTCTAAAAGTGCAAACCACGAAATCAAGATCTCTGGCTAGGAGGCCCAGGCAATTGATATTTTGTTAAAAGTTTCATAAGTGACTTGGATACTACCATTCATTGAACGATACAGATTTAAAAGGATAAATTGAGACCCACTTTTTCATTATTTTTAATCAGTAAAATAGATGGCTCTGACTTGTCTCAAAAGTGTCAAGTAGTGTGTTAAGTCCCAATAACTTATAAAACAGCACTATTTTACATTGAATTTTGTTATATTATTAATTTTGAACTGCTTTTTTTTAAGCACTTGTTTGATTTATAATGGAGTGTAATAGGAAATCATGCTTTAAGAAAGTAGGCTAAATGCCCTAGGATATTAATTTGAGCAGTTGCAGCCATAATAGAACAGACATTCACATTTTCAAAAGCCCCTTTTATCAAGGCATCAGAGAACACTAAAATATGAGGGCTTTTTTTTCCCGTCAAAAGGAATGAGTCATATAAACTAGTTAATCTCTTCAATGGAGAAACTAAGACATAAAATTATAGCCTAGTTTTTTTTTTTTGTTGTTAAGTGCCATCAAGTCGTTTCCCCAGTCTGTTGGTCCTGGCCAAAGAGGACAGAGGGGTCCAGCCTGGTGGTCTGCATGTTCTACCCTGGCCCCAGCTTCATGGGCTCCTCTAAGACCCTTCTTGGGGCTTACGGGGCCTCAGCACAGCCTTCCTCACAGATCTGAGGCCCAATTTCCCCACCTGACTCCACTTCAGAGGTGGTTTATGTTGAGGGCAGGCAGCCCTTGAGGGGAGGCTGGCTATGTTTGCCTTCTGCTCACAGCAGATGGTTCCAATGAAAATGAAATGAAACTGCAGAGCACCACCATTAACACGAGCATTTGAAGCAAAGGAAAAAAAAAAAAAAAAGCCAGATTAAGAAGAGGACATGGAACAAAGCATTACTAACATCAGATGAATCTTGGCTGAAAGCAGAGAATACCAGAAAGATGTTTACCTGTGCTTTATAACTATGCAAAGACTTTCGATTGTGTGGATCCTGACGAACTACGAACAACATTGTGGAGAATGAGTATTCCGGAACACTTAATTGTGCTCATGAAAAACCTGTACATAGACCAAGAGGCTGTTGTTCCAAAAAAACAAGGAAACACTGAATGGTTTAAAATTAGGAAAGGTGTGTGCCAGGGTTGTATTTTTTCACCATATTTATTGTTTCTGTGGAGCTCTGGTAGTGAAGTGGTTACAAATCAGGGTGCTAACCTTAAGGTCAGCAGTTTGAAACTACCAGCTGTTCCATGGGAGAAAGATGAGGTTTTCTGCTTTCTGTAAAGATTTACATCTCGGGATGCTGTACTGGGTCACTGAGTCGGAACTGACTCCATGGCATGTAACTGCTACCACCATTGTTCAATCTATATACTGAGCAAATAAGCAGAGAAGGTGAGTTATATAAAGAAAAATGTGACATCAGGATTGGAGGAAGACTCATTGACAACCTGCAATATGTAGATGATACAACATTGCTTGCTTGAAAGTGAAGAGGACTTACTATACTGATGAAGATCAAAGGCCTTCTGTATGGGTTGCACCTCAATGCAAAGAAAACAAAAATCACCAATGAACCAATGAAGAACATCCATATAAATGGAGAAAAGAGTGAAGTTGTCAAAGAGTTCATTTTGCTCTAATCAACCATCAACACTCATGGAAGCAGCAGTCAAGAAATTAAATGATGTATTGCATTAGTCCTTGTGTAGCGCTGCGGGTTAATGCACTAGACTACAAAGCTGTTTGATCTGCAAGGTTGGCGGTTCAAGCTCACCAGCTGCTCCTCGGAAACCCTATACAGGGTAGCTATGGGTTGGAATCGACTTGACGGCACTTAACAACAACAACAACAACATTGCATTAGTCAGATCTACACAAAACTTACTTAATGTGTTGAAGAGCAAAGATGTCAGTTTGAGGACTGAGTTGTGCCTAATGCAAGTCATAGAATTCTCAATAACCTCATATGCATGCAGAAGTTGTACAGTGAATAAGGAAGACTGTAGAGGAATTGATGCATTTGACTTATGGTTTTGGAAGAGAATATTGAAAGTACTGTGGACTGCCAAAAGAAACAGATCTTTTGGAAAAAGTACAGCCAGAAGTGCTTCTGGGAAGGCAGGATGGCCAGACTTGGTCTCTCATACTTCGGATGTGATAACAGGATGGACCAGTCACTGGAGAAGGATATCATGTTTGGTAAAGTGGAGGGTCAGAGAAAAAGAGGAAGACCCCCAATGAAATAGATTGGTACAGTGGCAGCAGTAATGGGCTCAAATGTAGCAACTATTATGAGGTTGGCGCAGGACAAGGCAGTGTTTCGTTCTGTTGTGCATAGGGTTGCTTGACTCGGTACCCACTTGATGGTACCTAACAACAACAAGTGTAAGAAATAAAATTTTTTTTTTTTCATTTTGGCTTGGTGTTTTACAAAGCATAGTGGCAAATGAGTCATAATAGCAAATTAAGAAATAAGGACCCTTTTCACAATGGATAGGAGTGCTTCGCACAATTGTCATAGTGAACCCAGTTTAAGGAGGAAGATACTGTTGAAATCCTTACTTTTCCTGCTTGTGCTTATATATTTGAGTAAATACTGGCTGAAATAGTGTGAATGGTTTTGGGGTGTTTTTTGCTAATAGCTTATTCTATAATAATTAACATTTTGAGATTAAACAGCTTGTTAGTAAGTAATGATGTTTTCCAAAGTCATTTATTCCTTTTTTTTTTTTTTTTAATTGCCTTTCCTTCCACCCAAGTTAATTTACCCTCTACTTAGTGATTTACCTTCTCTTCCCTGCCAACTCCTGGTAACATCAAGTAATGTTTTCTTACTGTGTGTTACCCTTTTCTTGGCTTTTTACAATAGTGGTACCTTACGATATTTGCCCTTTTGTGATGGACTAATTTTACTCAGCATGATGTCCTTTAGGTTCATTCATGTTATAAGGTGTTTTACAGATCTGTTATTCTTTAGTGTTGCATAGTATTCCATTGTGTGTATGCACCACAGTTTGCTTATCCATTCACACATTGGGCACTTAAGCTGGTTCCATTTGTTGTTGTTGTTGTTGTTATCTCATCTTTTGAAGTAGTGCTGCGATGAACATGGGTGTGCATGTGTCTATTTGTGTCACGACTCTTATTTCTGTAGGCTGTATATATATACCTAGTGGGATTGCTGTGGATCACATAGTATTTCTGATTTACAAGTTTCCCACAGTAGGTGTACCATTTTATAGTTCCACCAGCAGTGTCTGAGAACTCTAGCCTCTCCATACCTTGGCCAGCATTTGTTTTCATTAAAAAAATTTTTTTGGCTATTACTGATGTGGAGTGATGATATCTTACTGTTGTTTTGATTTGCATCTCTCTGAGGAGCCTGCTGTGGCGCTGTAGGATAAACACTTGACTGCTAACCATGAGGTTGGCAGTTCAAACCCATTAGTCACTCCTTGGAAACCCTGTACAGAGTGGCTATGAGTCAGAACTGACTGACTGCATGTAACAACAACTAAGGAACCCTGGTGGTATAGTTGGTTTACCTGTTGGGCTGCTGACCACAAGGTCAGTTTTCTGCTCCCGTGGACGTCCTGCAGTGAGTCATTGTGAGTTAGAATTGACTTGATGGCAATAGGTTTTAATGAGGAGCCCTGGTGGCATGGTGGTCAGTGATTCAAAGCTCCTCAGAAGAAAGATGAGACAGTATGCTTTATAAAGATTTACAGACTAAGAAACTCTATGGGGGCAGTTCTATGTTGCCCTACAGGGTCACTATGAGTTGAAATCAACTTGACAGTAATGGATTATTTTTGGGTTTTGGCCTGGTTTTGACACTTTAGGATAAGCACTGGTTGCTGACCTTAAGGATGAAGGTTCAAACCCACCAGTCACTCCTTGAAAACACTACACTGAGTTGTTGTGAGTTGGAAGCAACTATACTGCACAACAACAAATGATCACAAATATTTTCATGTGTTTATCGGTCACCTGAATGTTTTCTTTGGTTCATGTCCTCTGCCACCTTTTTAGATAACTGGCATCTCCTAAAAAATTTAAACATTTATGTACATCAAAAGACTTCTCTAAAAGAGTAAAAAGAGAACCTGCGGATTGGGAAACATTTTTTGGCAATGACAAGGGACTAATCTCTCAAATTTATAGAAAATGTCAATACTTCAACAATCTTAGGAGATCCCAGTCATCTAGTATATCTTCTACTGTTTGTACATTTTTAGTTATGTTTGATAGTATATTTATGCCAGGAATTGTTACTGTTGTTGTTAAGTGCCATAGAGTTAATTCCGACCCATAGCGACCCTGTATAGGGTTCCATGGAGTAGCTGGTGAGCTTGAACAGCCGACCTTTCCTGTTCAAATGGTTTTACAGTCTAGCGCATTAACCCATAGCGCCACACTAGGACTCCATATTTATGCCAGGCATTGGTGGTGGCTGGTGGCTGTGTGCCATGGAGTCTGTTCCGACTCATAGTGACCCTGTACAGGCTTTCCTTAGGACCCCTAAAATTTCCCCTATTTTTTTTAATGATCGTTATAGTTTTAGGTTTTATATTTAAAACCTGAAACTATAATGATCACTTAAAAAAAAATTCCATGTGCCTTTTAAAATTTATGTTAATATCATTTCTTTTTACCGAAATGACAAAGTACTAAAATTTTGAATGATTATGATAATGGAATTAAATGATAAAATCTCTAGAGCCCTGGTGTGGAACTGTGGGCTAAAGCATTGAACCTCCTTAAGGTTTGTTTGAACCACTAGGTTGGTTGTTCAAACTCACCAGCCACTCCTTGGAAACCCTATACAGGATTACTATGAGTCAGAACCGACTCAATGGCACTTAACAATAATAACAAATAACAAAAGTAATTTTAAATTCTGGAATATAATAACTCTTGGTGTGGCGCTATAGAATAAGCACTGGACTGCGAACCACAAGGTTGGTAATTCAGCTCTACAAGCTGCTCCTAGGAAACCCTGTACAGGATTGTAATAAGTTGGAACTGACTTCACAGCACTTAGCAACACCAACAACAATTAGTATTTGTAGTTCTTGGACAGTACAAGTGAATTAACATAACTCGGCCACCCACTCAAAAGTTGGCAGTTCTGGTCTATCCAGTTTCACCTTGGAAGAAAGGCCTGGCAATCTACTTCTGAAAAATCAGCCATTGAAAACCCTGTGGAGCACAGTTCTATGGGGACACATGGGGTCTCCATAAGAGACTCAATAAAAATGGACTGGACAGCAGCTGACTGGTTATTGTTATTAAGTGCCGTTGAATTGGTTTTGACTCACAGTGACCTTGTATAGGGTTTCCAAGGAGCAGCTGGTGGATTTGAACTGCTGACTTTGTGGTTTAAATTCCAGTGCTGATCCTACAATGCCATACCAGGAGTCTGATTGATTATTAGTTAAATAGGTATGATTATAATTTTATAGGCATTTTGTGTGTGTGTGTTAAACTTTTTACTGTAACTTGGATGAAAGTAACAAACTGACTTTCTATTCAGCAGTTTATATACATTTTGATTTGTAACATTGATTGCAGTTCCCACAGTGTATTAGCATTCTTCCATTTCTTCCCTGGGTTTCCATTTCTCCTTCTTTCCTATCCCTTCCAGCCTTCTGGCTTTATCCTGGGACGAGTATGCATTATATTGATAAACGTTTACATCAGAGTTTGGGTTCCTGCTGTTGGAGATATGGAAACGAAACCTACCTAAATGAATTAACTGAACTATCATTTAAAATTTTCCTATCTCCTCAGGCAAATTTCTCAAGTCTTAGCTGGTAGTACTTCTGTTTACCATTATTTCAAAGCCTTTAGATCACAGCTTGACTCTAAATATGCTACACCAAGTAGGCTCTTCCATCTTGTCAGTTGTAAAGCAGAGTTATTGGCAGATCACCTACTCTCCTTGGTGACAAGACATGGCAAGAGAAAAAGGAACCCAGAGAAGAAAGTGGATAATGAAATGCAGATACTAGTGATTTCTGCACCTTGCCATATATCCAATTCAGAGAGTGGAGGGAAAGGCAGTCCGCTTATTATACTCTCCTTTCTCATGAAATCCGTGGAGCACATTCAGTTATTTTCTTATTGTTTCAGTCTGAGGTATGTTGCCATTCCTGCATTTGGTAAAGAGAGATAATGATGGTTTATTTTGTAACAACAGAAGGAGAACAACTGCTTCCTACTGCTTAATCAGCAGCACCACAATTACTGGCAGAGAACCTGCTTTTTCCCTGTACCTAAGAATATCCCTGTGTGGCGCTGTGGGATAATGTACTGCAGGGTCAGTTTGCAAGGTCCGTTTGAACCGCAAGTTCGGTGGTTCAAGCTCACCAGCTGCTCTTCGGAAACCCTAGACAGGATCGCCAAGGGTCAGAACTGACTGAACGGCATACAACAACAATCCTCATGTTGCATATATCTTGCTAATTTCTACTTAAACTGAACATAATTCGTAGTTCTATGAGAAGTCTAGGTTCCCCAACTCCTGTGCATCTTTACTATTAATGAAAAGAAATAAAATGTTTTGTTGTGTATTTTGTTTTTACTTTTTAGGAGAAGACTGATGTGGAAGGAACCCTATTTGTTTACACAAGGTAAGAGTATTTTGCTTTTATAAAGCTACTAGCAACCTTTGGAATATTATTTTAGCTTTATTATGTCACTGCTCTTTAAGTGCAGTTGTATTCTGAAGGGAATTTATTTGTTGACATAGGAAGAGAATGCTATGTATTGCCACCTGGTACATTCTGGTGAATACTAATATCAGAATATACTTTAAAACTCAGTATAGATGTTCTTATGTGCCGTATAGTCAGTTCTGACTCATAGTGACCCTGTACAGGGTTTCCGAGGGTGTAAATCTTTATGGGAGCAGAAAGCCTCATCTTTCTTCCACGGTATAGCTGGTAGTTTCGAACTACTGACCGTGAGATTAGCAGCATCGATAAACTTAAATTTTAGGCTGTATCCTGTGTAAAATAGTATTAAATATCTTTTGTTGATACAAGTGAAAGGTAGAAAGGTCTTAAATATAATCCACTGGCAAAGAGCTAGAATTAGGAATATTAGATTGTTTAATTAATGTATAGAAAAAGCCCACCTCTCAATTCTTTAAGGAGTCCTGGTGTGGCGCTTCGGGTTAATGTGCTGGACTGCAAAGTTGTTTGAGTTACAAGGTCGGTGGTTCAGTCTCACCAGTTTCTCCTCAGAAACCCTATACAGGGTCGCTATGAGTCAGAACTGACTTGACGGCACTTGACAACAACTCTTCAAGTAAGCATGATCCAGAACTGAAGATGTTCTTGAGTTTTCCATGGTCCAGTTAATAAAATATGTTTCAGTATAGATTTAGCAGATTCACATTTTTAGTAATTTCTTTTTATCAAATATTGTTAACATCACATGTACGTAAAGTCTTATGTTGGCGTTTTGTCTTAATAGCTTAAGTTTTTATTCATGTCAATATTCACATAAAATGTCAGCTGAAGTTGATCACTTTGTAAGTGCAAAGATAAATGCAAAGTACATACCTTTCTGGGACTAACAATTTCATTGGGGAGACAGGAAATACACATATACACAAACACACACATACACGCATACATGAAGGAGCATCAAGACAAAGTTTGTGGGAAAAATTTCATTATGTTTTTAAAACTTTTTATTGTGAATTGAGGGAAGGTTTATAAGATTATCAGTTTTACATTCAATAGATCTTACACTTTGCTTCATCTCAATGAATACAACTCCCTCCCTGTAGCAACAGATATGCCATTTTGTCCTGTCTGGTCCACTTCCATTGCCCCCACCTTCCAGTCCCTTCTCAACTTTGTCCTTAGGTAAATGCTGCCTTTTGGATTTTGATCGATTAATCATACCTTACTAATGTTGTTGTCCCCCCTATATACCTATCTTCTGCTTGTCTGAAATTTGACCTTTTCCAGAATGTTGAGAGCTATAATCTTAGGTTCTTCCAGTAAGCCTGGTCTTTTTTAATAATTTTGTTTTATTCCACATATTCTGCCACTCTATCTAGGATCCTCTAATGTGGTCCCTTTCAGAGAAGTTGATAGTGGTAGCCAGGTACCATGTAGTTCTTCTGGTATCAAAGGGGTGGAGACTGAGGGTCACATGTTCCATTCATCCACTGGACTAATTGATTCCAAGCCTCTTCGATTCTCATCACTCTTCTTTCTTCTGCACATGGCGAGACCAATGGTGGCACCTTAGACAGTTGCTTGTGAGATTCTAAGATCATAGACACTATTCACCAAGCAGGATGTAGAACATTGTCTTTGTGGACTGTGTTATGCCTGCTGACCATGGTGTTCTCTAGATTATGGTCTTCAGCCCCCAGGTCCAGCAACTCATTACCCTAAGATACTTGATAATATCTAAGACGTTTTCATAATTTTTGCCTGCTGTGTGCTTCACCATACTCGTTGTGTTAGTAGAAAAGGTAAATACCCATGTATAAATATTCTCTTTTAAACTCTTAAACAAGGGTGAGTCAAAGATTATCCACACTCTGGATAATCTGTCTTTTAGAAAAGACACATACATCATTTTTTGACATAATATCCTTGCTTTTCAATACACTTTGTCCATTTGTCAGCAAGCTTTGTTATTCCCTTATTAAAAAGGGGTTTTAGAGTGAACTGTGAGCTACAAATGCACTGCTATCTTTACTTCTTCATCAGAGGTGAATCTTCATCCCCAAAAGACTGCTTTCAGGGGACCAAACAGGTAAAAGTCCCATGGAGCAAGATCAGGGTTATAGGGAGGATGCTTTAACACCTCAAAAGGAAGATTTTGCAGAGTGTCAACAGTGTGGGCTGAGGTGTGCTGATGTTCATTGTCATGCAAAATCACACTGTCCTTGGATAGCAGTCCTCTGCATTTAATCCCAAATTTAGGTTTTAGCTCTTCATTGAGCATCCCACTGTAATGTGTGTTGTTGATTGTTGAACTTTTTCCTGAGAGTGTTCCAATATTGTTGTTAAGTGCCGTTGAGTTGATTCCAACCCATAGCAATCCTATATAGAGTTTCCGAGGAGCAGCTGGTGAGCTTAAACCACAAATGGCTTTGCAGTCTGGCACATTAACCCACAGTGCCACACCAGGACTCCATTCCAATATTAGCCCTTGAGGACCCCAGAAAACTTCAAGCATCAATTTTCCAGCTGATGGTTGATTTTTTTTTTTTTTTTTTAAGTTTTTTTGTGAATTCAGTGAAAGTTTATAGGGCAGATCAGTTTTACATTCAACAAATCATATACTTTGTTTCATTTGTTGTTGTTAGGTGCCATCGAGTCGGTAACAACTTATGCACAGCATAAGTCCTTATGCACAGCAGAACGAAACACTGCCCGATCCTGGTCCAACCTCACTACTGTTGCCACACTTGAGTCCATCGATGCTGCCACTTGGCCAATCCATTTGTTGGGGTTTTCCTCTTTTTCTGATTCTCCACTTTTGTTTCATTACAATGATTATAATCCCCACCATGTACCATCAGTTAACAGTATTTCTCTCTATTCATTTTAGGTCTTTTTTTTAAAAAAAAAAAGACTTTTGAACTTTTTCTTGGTTGGCGATTGAGGAAGTTTATATTCTATACTCCATTTACTCTCAGGCTCCTATTGATGAATCTATGTCTCATCACCAGTAATGATTTTTTTAAAGAAACTTTTACCTTCCTTCAAGTATTGGTCCAGATTTTGTTTGCAGATATCCAAATGCCTCTGTTTATGCTCTTCCTTGAGTTGTTTCGGTACCCATCTTGCACAAACTTTTTAAAACAAACCCAATCTGTCATGGATTAGTTCAAAGGCAGAGTCATGGCTGATTTGTAAATGATTTACTACATAATCCACTGTCACTCATCTATTCAACAAAATCATTTCACATGCATGCTCAGTGTTATCATCAGTTTTAGACGTGGATGGTTCTAATATAACCACAATGAGGATAATTTTTGACTCATCTCGTATATTTGTGGGTGTACTCCCACTCTTCCTCCCATATACTTTCATCCTGTGTCTCTGTCCATGTATCTTCCCGCAGAACACTGTTGTTCCAAGGTTGTGTATATAATACTATTTACCACTATCCTGGTATGGCACTGCAGGATAATGTGCTGTACCACAATGTCGGTTTGAACCAACAGATCAGTAGTTCAAACTTACCAGCCACTCCTCAGAAATCCTGCATAGGGTAGCTATGAGTCAGAACCTACTCAACAGCACTTAACAACAACACATCTGCCTCCTTTAGCCCTTACATACCTCCCAGTGTTTTCACCGGTTTTCATCACCCTGCCAACCTCTCCTTGTATATTGCCCTCCTACTTCTTGTATATCACCATTTCTGTCACCTGAGTTAACATTTGTCTACCCTCCAGCCAGTGAATTATTCTCTCTTCCCTCCCACCCTTGGTAACTATCAAAGAATGTTTCTTTTAGTATGAAAACCTTTTCTTGAGTTTTTACTATAGTGGTCTTATACAATATTTGTCCTTTTGTGATTGACTAATTTCACTCAGCATAATGTCCATGAAGCTCATCCATGTATGAGGTATTTCACAGATTCATCATCATTTCTTCAATATTGCATAACATTCCATTGTGTGCATGTACCAAAGTTTGTTTATCCATTTTTCCATTGGTGGGCTGTTAGGCTGCTATTATGAATAGTGCTGCCATGAACATCAGTGTGCACATATCTACTCCTGTCCTGACTCTTATTTCTTGTAGATATATGCTAAGTTGAGAGATTGCTGGGTCATACAGCAGTTCTATTTCCAACTTTATAAGGAAGTGCCATACCATTTTCCACAGTGGTTGAACCATTGTACAGTAAAAAAATCCCATTATCTTTTAATTCCATTTTCCATGAACTTTTGAAGCCCCTTCATATGTGTTTGTGTATTATATATATATATATATATATATACATTTACATTCTGACTCATAGCAACCCTGTGTAGGGTTTCTGAGGTGGCAGATCTTTATGGGAGCAGAAAGCCTCATAGACCATCATAAAGGCCAGTTGATAAATTATTACATAAAGAGTGGGCTGCTATGATTGCATTAGGAAAACCTGCTGCACAAGACCCCTTTAAAGTGTTTAAGAGCAGAGATGTCAGTTTGAGGACTAAGATGTACCTGATCCAAGCTATAGTATTTTTAATAGCTTCCTGTGTATTTAAAAGTTGGACAATGAATATGGAAGACCATAGGAGAATTGATGCATTTGAATTGTGGTGTTGGAAAGAATATTGAAAGTACCATGGGCTGCCAGAAGAACAAACAAATCTGTGTTGGAAGAAATTCAACCAGAATGCTCCTTAGAAGCCAAGATGGTCAGACTTCATCTCTCATACTTCAGACATGTTATCAGGACGCACCAGTCCCTAGAGAAGGATTCTCATCATGCTTGGTAAAGTGGAGGGACAGCATAAAAAAGGAAGACCTCTCACTAGATGGATTGGCACAATGGCAGCAGCAGTGGGCTCAAGCATAGTAACAATTGTGAATATGGTACAGGACGGGGCAGTAATTTGCTCTGTTGTGCATAGGGTTGCTGTGAATCA